GCGCAGGCTGTGCGTGGAAGGACCCTGAACCCAGGGCGAGCAGGAAGGAGCCAGCTGGTGGCAGCCAAGGGGCCTCACTGGGCCTGGCATGTGACTTTGGAACCGATGGGCCAGTGGTGGCAGCGGCTGATGGCACTGGTCCTCCATCCAGGGTCACGTGGCCCTGATGTGTCTCCCTCCCCCAGAGCCCAGCATGGGGCTCAGGACCCACAAAGACAGTGCTGGGCATGGGTATCAGAGTCTCTTGCACATGCTCGGCGGAAAGTTCCAGAGCTCCCAAGCTCGTTCCACGCGCTCAGGTTGGAACAGCTTACCGTGCCCTGCTGAGCTGGGTCTTTGGGCTGGATCCATGCGGGGTGAAGGGAGGTCCCTGTGCCACGTCCTCCAGCTGTGAACAGCAGATGTGAGCAGGAGGGTCTCAGCCCTGCCCCCAATGTGATGTAGGACTCTCATCAGCCCAAACCAGCTTCGGCCAGTCCGTAGGAGCCGCCTCAGCCTGAACCCTACTGAAGGCAACTGATGCACCTCCCAGCCTGAGGTGCGAGCACAGCAGCCGCCTGCCCGGGGACGGGACGGAATCGTCCTGGTGTGGCAGGGGCTGACAGGTCCTTTGTCCTTCTCCGTCGCCACTCACCGACCTCATGTGACTTTCCCCAGGGGTCCCGAGCACCACAAGAAGATTGGAGCTTAGGGAGGGAGAAGGTGCGTCGTGAGCCTGGGTCTGGGTGTGGATGAAAGCCGTGTCCACACCCGAAGGCGCCCTCACGTCTTGGAATGACACTCCTCATGTAAGCTGCGTGGTCAGTGCAGCCCACAGGAGCCGGCCCAGCCTCCCTGGGGAGGTGGATCTGGTGAGCGTTTCCTCCAGAAAGTGATGGAGGAGAGCTTGGACGCAGCCGACAAGGGGAGGCAAGGCCTCAGCCTGAGACTCTGCAGGCTGGGGGTGCAGGCTGCATTCTGGGTGTAGCACCTGCTCCCTGCACCCCTGTGCCTCAAGATGCTCAGACCCGAGGCTCATCCCCCCTCCCTGCATCTTGGGGCGTTTAGTGCTGGAGCCTGGCTTCATGCCTCCCTGCTGGGGCCCTTCCCGTCCCTTGCATCTCCGGCTGCCCAGCCCATGACCTGAGCTTCGTGACCGCAGCTGCACAGCTGCGGCTGACATCTGTGGGGTGCCCACCCACTGTGCCCCAGAAGTGCACGTGCATGCACCGGAGAGCCAGGCCGACCTGCCCATGTGTGCACAGGCACCGCCCTTCGGGGCCCCCAGGAGCTGTGGCGACCAAGCGGGCAGGCTGGGTGGGCACTGTTGCTGCTCCTGGGCATGGCTGCAGCTCACGTACTTTTCCCGGCACTGCCATGAGGTGCTCGGCGCTGCTGCCGTTTATGCAAATCGAGCTCTCCCCTTCCCGGGCTGTTATACCCCTGGCAGGATGCATACTCGAGTCAGCTGTCTGTGTGGCCAAGCAGATGTGTGACTCCAGCATCAGGACTGGGGATGGGGCAGCTGATGTGGGGACAGGGGGGTGGGGGTGGGGCGGGGGGTGAACCCGTGGGCTGCGTCCACTTCTCACAGCACCCCTGGGGCCGCTGAAGTCCTGGGTCCCCACCTGCCTATCTCTCATGGCTGGCCCTGGACAGGGCTTTGCAGTCCTGCCTGTGTCTCTGGCCACGGTTGGAGCTGCCCTTGGTTTCAGCATGGGGTGAGGGGGCCTGGACAGCAAGATGTCCATGGACACAGCCGTGGCGACACTCTGGAGAGTTCGGGGAGCCTCTCCCTCCTCCCCCCTCAGCCAAGGTCGTGGTGGGATCATCTGGCGGGGGTCCTGGAGAAGCAATCCTCTTACCCCTCACCTAGCAGTGAGCCCGAGGGGGGGTGATCCTGGCGCCATCTTGGGTTCTCCACAGGCAAAGCCCAGCACAGGTACTCTGAGCGATGGCAATGGACTGCACCCAGCTGGGCTTGACATGGCGAGAAGAACCCCCAAGATTCAGGAGCTCAGAGTGAGGGGCTTCCTGGACACCTCCTGCCACCAAACCTGGCCATGGACACATTCCACAGCTCCAATGCAGGACACAGCTCACACAGCAGCAGAAAGACACAGCCCATGGTAGGACACAGGCCACAGCAGGACACAGCCCATGGCAGGACACAGCCCACAGAGGCCATGGCAGGACACAGCCCATGACAGGACATGGCCCACACAGGCCACGGCAGGACACGGCCCACACAGGCCATGGAAGGACATGGCCCACACAGGCCACGGCAGGACACGGCCCACACAGGCCATGGCAGGACACGGCCCACACAGGCCATGGCAGGGCACAGCCCATGGCAGGACATGGCCCACACAGGACGCGGCAGGACACGGCCCACACAGGCCACAGCAGGACACAGGACACAACAGGACATGATCCATAGCAGGACACACAACCCACATAGGCCATGGCAGGACACGATCCACACAGGACATGGCAGGACACAGGACATGGCAGGACACAGGACACGGCAGGACACAGGACATGGCAGGACACAGGCCACGGCAGGACACAGGACACAACAGAACACAGGCCACGGCAGGACACGGCCCACACAGGCCATGGCAGGACACCGCCCACACAGGTCACGGCAGGACACAGGCCAGAGCAGGACATGGCCCATGGCAGGACATGGTAGGACACGGTCCATGGCAGGACACACAGCCCATATAGGCCACGGCAGATGTGGCCCACACAGGCCATGGCAGGACACGGCCCACACAGGCCACAGGAGGACACAGCCCACAGCAGGACATGGCCCACACACACAGCCCACAACAGGACACAATCCATGGAAGGACAAGTCCATAAGGCCACAGGAGGACACAGCCCATGGCAGGACATGGCCCACATAGGCAAGGGCAAGACACAGCCCATGGTAGGACACGGCCCACAACAGGACACAAGAGGACACAGACCACATAGGCCATGGCAAGACACAGCCCACACAGGACACAGCACCACAACTCTTGTCATCTGATATGGGTGACCCTGTCCTTAGAGGGCCCTGACTCCCATTTACTCCTCGTCACTCCTGGGTGGGGTAAGGCAGCCTTGACAACGCCATCCTGTGGCCTGCGGGGACACACAAGAGAGAACAAACACCTGGAGCGCCCACATGACTCTGGGTATCCAGATTCCTGGCAGGTTCTGGGGGTGCAGAAAATGTTCCCTCTGGGGAGTGATGGGAGAGAGGGTCCTAGAGCTCCCCAGGGGGCCTCCCTGGCCAGTGGGCTGCCCGGTGTCCTGAGCCTTTGCAGATGTCGTCTTTCAAGGTCACCAGGGAAAAGCCCTTGGAGAACACTGTCCTGGCTCCTGGAATATGAGTTCACTGGTGTTCTGGTGCTGAGGCAGCCCTGGGCAGATTCAGGGTGTGTCTGTTCATGGGACGTGTCTGTTCACAGGGAATATCTGTGGGGAGCGTCTGTTCATGGGGAATATCTGTGGGGAGCGTCTGTTCATGGGGAGTATCTGGAGAGTGTCTGTTCATGGGGAATATCTGTGGGGAGCGTCTGTTCATGGGGAGTATCTGTGGGGAGCGTCTGTTCATGGGGAGTATCTGGAGAGTGTCTGTTCATGGGGAATATCTGTGGGGAGCGTCTGTTTATGGGGAGTATCTGGAGAGTGTCTGTTCATGGGGAGTACTGGGGAGTGTCTGTTCATGGGGAGTATCTGTGGGGAGCGTCTGTTCATGGGGAGTATCTGTGGGGAGCGTCTGTTTGCGGGGAGTATTTGGGGAGTGTCTGTTCATGGGGAATATCTGTGGGGAGCGTCTGTTCATGGGGAGTATCTGTGGGGAGCGTCTGTTCATGGGGAGCATCTGTAGGGAACGTCTGTTCACCTGAGGGCAGTGTGAAGGTTCCAGAATGGGGCCCGCTGGGTAAAGAAACTGGTACCTATACACAGTGGAATACTAAATGGCCGTAAGAAAGGATGAAATCATGCAGTTTTCTGGTGTATGTGTGGATCTGGAGAGTATCACAGAATGATCCCTCGTATATGGGGTATAAAGAAATAGAGTAAGAAAACAAGTACCCAAAGGCGACAGAAACCGAGAGCTAGTGCAGCCCTGTGAGCGCTAGGGGCCACTGGGACATGGTGGGGGGAGTGACGCTGGTGGGGTGTGTTAGAATATTTCTTACGTGAAATCCTCCCATTATCAATATTGTAAATTGCGGCACCTAATGTAAAATTGAAAAAAAAAACACACCCAGAAACAGCCCTGGCCCCTGCTTTCTCCAAGGGAAGGACCCCTCTCCCTGCACTCCTGCAGCCCTGCTTCATGTCAGCTGTGACCCTCCACCTTCCTAAGAAACGACAGAAGCCAAGAGACCGGACAGCGGAGAGGGCGCTGGCCTTGCACGCAGCCCGGGCGGGAGTAGCCCTGGGCGTGCTGGGAGACTGTGGCTTAAAGAAGGAGGATTTCAGGGGGTGCCGAGTGGCTCTGCTGAGGAGGGGCGGCATGGGTACCGCTGGTCTGCGGGATGTTGGGGTATGGCTGAACATGTGGGGCTCAAGCTGGCAATCAGCTATTCTGCAGGGCCTGGAGCGAGCAGGTCATCCTCCCAGGTGTGTCCTGTGATGGAAGGGCCACTCTGGCGGTTGGGCTGCCCTCACCCCCTCTGCTTCCTAAAGCCCCGTCACCAGCCCTGCCAGCCCATGCCAGTTCCCTACTGTGGAGACCCCACACCCTGGGGTGGGTGGCATGGGAGAACCAGCCACAGGGACCCCGGCCTGCTGCCCCCCACGGCCCTGGCTATGGACTCCCTGTGCCCAGAGCACAGCCCGGGGCGCTGGCCCAGGCCCTGCTCACTGCTGAAGTGACTGGAGGCCCTTCTGGGTCTGGGGTGCCCCCGGGTCATGGTGTGAGAAGGAATGTGCCAGCAGCAGGAGGGCGGGGGCCCTGGGGTGGGGCGCGTCCTGACACCCAGATGCCACTGACCCCACTTTTGTCTCACCCACAGGTGATCCTGATCCTGACCAAGTATTACCACGCAGACATGGGCAAGGTTCTGGAAAGTTCTCTGTGGCGGTGAGTCAGCCAGAGGCACCACCGTGCCAGGGCCAGCCGGGACCCCTACCTCTGCTTGCCGTGGGCTCAGATACGTGGGCGCTGAGAGTGGGGGCCGGGACGTGGCGGGTGCTGAGGGCTGGGGGAGCTGTCTTTGGAATGCTGCTTCTTCGCTTTCTTCCCATCTTCTGCCCGGGAGGTGGACCATCAGCGCAGTCCCTGCAGTGGGCATCACCAACGGTGCCCAGGAGTCTCCAGGGCAGGGTCACTGCAGCGACATTCCCTTCCCTGCGCAGTGGCCGCTGCCACTGGAGTCAGTGACGGGCCCAGTCCAGACATGTGCAAGGCCTCAGATATGTGCAATGCCACGGGGTGGTTTGGGGAGCTGGTCTTGGGGTCTGCGCCTTCAGTCCTTGTGGTGGTCTAGGGGCCCACTGGGTCTGGGGTTCATGCTGCACGTTGGTGGGGGTGATTTCGTCCACATTTCTTGTGGCTGAACGGTCTCATGCTTCTCCGGGGACATTGAATCGGTTTTTTCTTTGGGGTCCACTGTGAGCCCCTCAGCGGGTGTGCAGCCCTTGGACTTGGCTTGTAACTGCGGGTGGAGGGAGCTGAGCCGCCTAGTGCTTTGGGGGTTAGTGGGCTTCGCTGTCTCCTGGGGTACCCGCTGTGCTCCTGGCCCAAGGCTGGGGTTTCTTTCTTTTTTTAATTTTTTATTATTATTTAAATAATGTAGGAGAACTGCTATTTGTTCAGCCATTGATTAATCTGATTGAATTGGGCATGAACTCCACGGGGGTTTCTTTCAAGGGGCCTTTCCTGCCATCTCTCAGCTGCGGGCTCCCGTCTCTCCACACACTCCGCCCCATCTCCTCCTCAGTAAGGAGGAAGGGAGGCAGAAAAGCATGCGCAGGAAGGACAGGTGGCCGCTCACCCCTGCCCATCAGTCTGTGCCAACCTCGTGCCAAAAGGCAGGGTCAGCACCTGCGAGGCTCCTTAGACCCACCCCGTGGGGCTGTGGGGCACTTGAGGAACGCAGCAGGAGTGTTGGGCAGGCCTGCGGCACACTGGGGTCTCCGAGGCTCAGTCTAGGGTGGCTTTGGGGTGGAGTGCCGCAGGGTGCCCAGGAAGCAGGCTGGCTGGGAAGTCCGGGGCCGCTCATGGGGCTGCACAGGTCACACGTCTGTCCAGCTCGCTCCTCGTCCCTTGGGCCGGGTCCTCACAGGGTCCTGCCCTGCTCACTCTGGTGTCCAGCTGTGCTTCTACATCACCAGCACAGCCCCTGGAGGGTTCTCAGCCTGTTCCATAGATGGGAGTGGGCTCAGGGGACCCCTGATTGGGGGCTGTAGGACCCCGGGCAGACTCGTGTGGGGAAGTCCACGAGCAGCCCTGCAAACACTGGGCTTCTCCCAGACATCCCAGGACCCCCATGTTCCCAGTGACCCAGACTCCCAGCAGCCATGTTTCTGGCGACGCAGTCACTCCAGACATCTTCCTTATCCCAGCCTGGATTCCAGAAATTTCTTGCCCATTATTAAAAATAGACACAGAGGGTGAGTCATTCCAAGTCCCCCAACCCTGGCGCCCCCCACCCTGGGTTCACATGCTCTGCTGACTGCATCTTTGGGTGCCACGTGTGTCTGCGGCAGGCGTAGGCTGCCATGACCTGCTCACAGTGCTCCCTCTGCCACAGTGCTCCCCCCAACACACTCCCTAAAGAATGTGGGCAGGTGTGCAGGGCTCTGAAGATCTGACGATCACGGCATCGCATAACAGAGCTGGAGTGGGAGTAGATTTATGGCCCCGGCTGGATTCCTGGCAGAGGAATGTGCTTCCCGGGGCATTGTCGCAGTAGCTGCCACAGCTCAGCAGAGATGTGCCCGCCCCATGCTCTGTTTGCAGGCTGAATGTCCCTGACAAGTGAAGGGACCATCCTGCGCTTCCCCAGGACACACTGGCCCCTGGGTCTTACAGGGTTTCTTATGGGGGCGGGAACCGTGATCCTGCCCAGGCCCCCCAAATTCAGTGGGGTTCTCACCACTCACGTATGGATCGAATGTGCCTGAGCCTCCTGAGTCATCACAGTCACCGTATTTCTCTAACGATGAGTTGAAATTTCCTCTCTGGAAGTGTCTCTGCACTGGGAAGCTGATTGTGCGTGATCACAGAGCCTGGCTTGGCCACTCCCTTCTGGGCTGGGGGACTCAGACCCTGGGATCAGAGTGGAGCAGGGAGGGAAAGGCAGGATGACATCAGGGGTCGGGTGCACCCCCACCCCCACTGAGGTTTGGGAAATGGGATCCTTTTCCAAATCAATCTGCTGCCTTTTTCTGCTGAGGTCTTGGGACTGTGAAGTGATCAGCCATGTGTTGGGGACACTGGACAGAGGGGTTTCTCTTTCTGTGCTAGAGCCAGAACCCAAACAAACATGTGGGCTTGGGGAACCAGCACGTGATGTTGGAGGCAGCCCCATTCTGCCACCATCTGCCCCTACCTCTGAAGATCCTCAGCCAACCCTTGTCACAGGCTCAGGCCCACTTGGGAACCCAGGACACTTATCACTCAAGACCCGGACAGTGGATGGATGGATGGGTGTGTGGGTGGATGGATAGGTAGATGAGTGGGTGGGTGGAAGGATGGATGGATGGATGGATGGATGGATGGATGGATGGATGGTTGGATGGATGGGTGGGTAGGTGGGTGGATGGATGGATGGGTGGGTGGGTGGGTGGATGGATGGATGGATGGATGGATGGATGGATGGATGGATGGGTGATGAGTGGATGGGAGGGTGACTGGATGGTGACTGGATGGTGGGTGGATGGATGGATTAATGGATGGATGAGCAGATAGATGGGATGGATCATGGAATGACAGTTTGAATCAGTGATAAGATGATGGATGAATGGAAAGACATGAGTAGACAGATGGGTGATCAGATAACAGGATGAATCAATAGATGGACAGATTGATGGATAGATGGATGAATGGATGATAGAAGGATGAGTGGATGGATGGGTGGGTGGACAGATGGGTAGATAGACAGATGATAGAAGGATCAACGGGAGGACAGATGGGTTACTGGATAGATGATCAGATGACCGGATAAACAGATGAGTAAACAGATTTGGATAGGTGATGGATGAATGGAAGGAAAAATAGTGGGTGGATGGGTGAGTGGGTAGATAGATGATGACAGGATGATGGATGGATTGACAGATGGATGAACAGATGATAGGAGGAGGAATAGATGGACATGCAGGTGGATGGATATAGGCAGAGGAAGAAATTTATATAGATGGACAAATGGATGGAGAGGCGCTGGCTGGCTGGCTGGCTGGCTGGTGGAACGAGTAGACGGATGGGCAGATGGATGAACAGTGGCCAGAAGTGTGGCACAGAGGGACACAGTGGGGACCTGAAGATTCTTTGTCTCTTCAGGACTATACTAGGGTATAGGGGAGTAGCAGGAGGGAGTTAGTGCTAAGGTTACCTGGGGCCACACTGACCCCTGATGACTTGAGCCCAGCCCCCGGCTGTGAGGGCTGGCATACATCTGACAGGGCCCAAAGCTAGGGATGACCTTGTGAGCTCTGGGGTGGGGGGGCCCTAGGGGGATTAGGTCTGCTCCCAAAGGAGCTGGGGGAAGTATGTGCCTTCTGTCGGGGCGGGACAGGGATGCTTCCTTCTGTCTTCACTTCCATGGAGAAAACTTTACCTTAAACACTCAGCATATGGAGCTGCTGCATCAGCACTGTCAGACCGGAGAAGGCCAGAGCTTCCTTCCCCTGCAGCCTCCCTTACAGTTATTTATGGGCTCACTGATTAGGTTGGAACAAAGGGCAGGGAGCTGGGCTGTGAAGTAAGCCCTGACCCAGAGGGGCTCCGTTATTACCCAGGCAGAGTCCAGTCCAGCCCCGTGGGACTCCTTGTCTACATTGGTGATTTCCCCCCTCTCAAGGGACACTTTATCTCTTAAAGAGAGAGACTGCAGTGTTTTAGCTGGCCCAGACCTGTCCTCCGTCCCCCCTCCACTTTCCCATGTGATCCATGGCTATCCAGAAGGAAACATGTCTTACACTGGCGTGGATGGTGCCAAGTACATTAAATACAAAAGCGTGTGCCTCTCTATAATCAATACACCCTACGTCTTAGCGTGTTTCAAAAATTCATATGAACAGCGTGGCGCTGCCTTATGAAATCTGATTTATATTTCCAACTCGGCTTTGGTAATTTATCCTCTTAGTTCCCGTAAGCTGGTTGATGGATGCGTCTCCCTCATGGGAGTGTGGGGATTTTGTTATTCCCTGCGGAGCGGAGTGGGGCTGGGGAGTCTACACACCTGTCTCCTTGTCTCCCCCATGCTGATAGACTTGGGAAGATCTTGGGATTTCTCGGCCTTCCACAGTCTGTACAGGAGTCACAGAGGGTACAGTTCAGTGTCACTTTAATTTGCAAGTTTTATTTCTTCTTGGACTTGCTTTCCTTTGTGCACTGAGTCACAGGGCACCTGGCCTGGGGTTTCCCACCCCATTTCTGTAGATGGCCGACTTCTGAATCCACCTCTGTACTGTTCAGTGCAACTCTCTCAAGGGCTCTGAATTGTAAGCCTCTGGTTCACGTCACGCATCTTGACCTCATACCGTGTGCCATTCCCCCGTCCCAGCATTTGTTTGGGGGTCATACCTGGCTGTGCTAAGAGTTTACTCCTAACTATGTTCAGTAATAACTCCTGGCAGGGCTCAGGAAACTGTATATTGTGCCAGGGATAGGACCTGAGTCAGGTGAGTGCCAGGCAAGTGCCCTCTCCACAGTACCAGCCCTGTTTTCCATCACCCCTTAAGAGGGTTTTTTCTTAAGAATTTTTTTTTAATGTAGGAGTACTGTTATTTATTCAGCCACTGATTAGGCTGATTGAATTTTGCATGAACTCCACCTTACTTCCCCCCCCCCCATTTTTTATAATTTTATTTATTGAATCACCGTGAGAGCAGTTACAAAGTTTTCGGGTTTAAGTCTCG